AGTTGTTTAGGCATTTTGTGGTGACCAGTTTCTACATTTCTGTATCCACCCCATTTAAGCATCATTTCTGAATAAATGCATGAGATTCTAACAGTTTATGAAGCCCTAAAAGAACCTTGGATTTTATCTTTCTGTAAGTGAACTAACCTGCCCAGCAAATGGCAGCAGGCGGATGTGTGCTGGGATTATCTGTATCTTCTTGCACCTCCATTACTTCTAGAAAAAGGTGGCCCTTAGGGGCCAGGGGAATTAATGACTTAATGCCCACAAAGCTCTAGGAACAACTTGCTGCAGATAAGGTCTCATTACCGTTAATTGTTATTATTATTGTTATTAACCCAGCTCCTATGAAGAGCTGCCACAGCTTTGTTAACCACCTCAGGTCAGGGGTTTAATTAATAGCTCCTCTGAATGCCAGAGGCCCCAGGCACAATGTTCACGCCCCCACATCTGGGCTCCACTTCCCCTGAGCTCCGCCCACAGGGTCCTCTCCACTCCCAGACTTTTCCTGCTCCCTGTCTCAGCAGCTACATCACTTCTGACGCCTGCCTCCCACTTTTCACTCACTTCAGCTCCCCCTCCCATTCCAGCCCCCTGCTCAGACCCCCTCGCTCACCTTGGCACCTTGGCTGCCTCTCCGCCATAATCTCCCATACCTCCTTTGCCTTCTGCCGTGTCCTAGCCTTCCCACACATTTTTTGGTGGCCAGTCTAAATTGCCACGTCTTTTGGGCGTTATGAAAGCTAAAAAGTGTCCCTGCCATTCCCCCTGGTAGCCCCCACTTCCTGCATTGTATCCAGGTCTCCCATCCCACCTCCATGAGAACTTTGGGATTGTTCCTCAGGTGGTGAGACTGGTTGGGAGGTTGGCTGGTTTAGGGTTACCTAGTTTGGCCCTAACTCAGCCCGGTGCAACTGCCTTCTATTAATTAATTATTCCAATTTTTAAAAAACCCATCTCTTCAATTGGACCTCAGTGCATGCCTCTGAGGCATATGTCACATCAAATTACAGACAACAATTAAACGTGCTGCCAAAAAAGAATCTGTGAGTCTCTATTTAAACTCAAATAGAATTCAGGCCTAACTGCCTTAGATCACTCTGCTTTAGACAGACCCTGAGGCAGAACCCCCAGGGGAGAATTGGGCTGCAATGGACTTTCTCCTGTTTAGGGTTCCTTCTGTCAGCTGCCCCCACAGCCTAACCCCATGGTCCTCATTGCCTTTGCTTAGATATCCAGGGAGCCAAGCTATTTGACATAAGTGGGGTGGTGGCATCACTTCTCTTGGAAAGCAACAATGTCCCTCAAATTCTAGAGTGCACTTCTCCACTGTCCTAACTGGCCATCTTGCATGGGTAAAGATGACCCTCAGGCCCTCTAACCCTGAGTTGATCTGTCCTTTTTCCATCAGTACAGATGGTAGAAGAAGGGTTAACTGAAGCTTTCACGGTGGTTTGAATTAGGAAATTGGTTGAAGACATTGCTTGAAGGCAGAGATGATTTCTTAATGGACCTTGATTCCCACTTTGTGTAACACTCGGTAGATGCTCCAGGAAAGTTGATAGAATGTTGAAGAGGAGGAGGGAAAGAGCATGCAGTGCAACAACAAACATTTTTCCACATGCAAAGCCAGTAGGCAGAGATGGGACTAGGCTACATCTTAGCCTTATTAACCTGTCCTGTCTACCCACTGGAGTTTAAAAAAATTAGTAGACCGTGTAACCATGGCTCTCCTTATCTATTTAACTCATTTATTTATTGGCATATGAGTTGACTGTGAATCGCTTTGTCCTTTTCTGTTTGCTAGAACTGTGGCTGTCCATTTGAGTCCAAACTTCCAGAGAGCAGAGACCACATCTGCTCAGTTTGCTTTGTATGGTGTCCAGCAAAGGCCGCAGCATGGTGTCACAGAGAAGTCTTGGACTTGGACCCTGGAGACCCAGGTTTTAGTTCTGGTGTGACCCTTAATATCTGGATCTTGTTTTTATTTGCTGTTTAAAAAAAACGAGAACGTTTTCTGCCTGTCCTTCCTCCCTGGTTGAAGGAAGGATGAAATGGGAAGAAAGATCTGTAGAAATTGCCACGTAAATATGGTTTATAAAACATTATAAAATACATTTTGGTGACAAGGACACCAGAGTAATCAAAATTCAAACAGATGTTTCATGGTGTTACAGGTATTAATAAGCACAGTCATCTTTTTTAGAGTAGAATTCTTGGTATAGGATCTGGAAGACTCTAAGAACCATATAATCCGCTCTTTATACAAAGCCTGAAGGGCGAAGCGATGGGTGGCATTTGCGGTACTACAAATATGACAACTAGGACACCATGCCCAAGGCCCTGGTTCCAAGTCTGGTGTGGTAAGATAGGGTTATATTAACTAATGGGTGGGCAGTGAGCCATGGCCACTGCCCCTATTAAGTACAGGTGGTAAGAACTACTACTGACTGGGAATACATCTCTGAAAGCTTAGGGAACGAGGAAATGCCGTGAACAGGGAGATTGAATCAGGCCATCCAGTTCACCTTCCAGGAACCAGATGTCTGCTGCTGTTTAAATGAAATCTTTGAAGGTTTTCAGAACTGTCAAAGTGTACAGACATTCATGCTAAAATTTTTAAATTAAAAATTGGGTTCTGCTGGTTTCTGCCCACTGCCTCAGTGAGTAAGTTAGTGAAGAACTATTTAAGGCCAGGAAACCAAAATGACAGAAGGCTGATCTTCCAGTAAGGCCGGCTGTGGGTGCTAAATGTTGTCTACAAGGATTGCCTAGCTGCAGTGCCAGCATCTGAAGAAGGGAGGCACTGGAACTAAGCAGTCTGAGAGCAGAGGCCTCTTCTTGGAGAAGTCTAATGATGACACTGGTTGGAAGTCCCCTTCTGTGGGAGGTATATGAAGGGGAAGACTTAAGGCAGAGCCAGGTTCTCCTTGCTAGCCCTGCAGCCTGAGGCCTTGTAAAGTATCAAGGCTTCAGATAAACAGGGGTACATCCCAGGGCCCTAGAAAGAAAAAGAAGGGGAAAAAAAAACATGAAATAAACAAGATACATGTGTAGAACTGAATGTTAGAATTATTCTCCATCACGTGGCAAGGCTACCTTTCTTTTACGCCATAGGAATATGTAGCGATTTTTCAGAGTGGGCCTGTCAAGCCCTCTGGAAGTCCAGCACACTGCAAGTCAGGAAACTTGGGTCCATTATTTTCGTGGCTGGGTGACTTTGGCTGAGCCATTAAATATTCCTTGGCCTGAATTGCCTTCATTGGAAATAATACCTGCCCTGCCTGCCTCACAGGGTTTGGAAGATCTGATGAGATAATGGACATAACCTCCTTGCAAAAACCATAAAGCACTCCTCAAATGGAAGGTAATAATATTACTGTTCAAATTAAGAGGAGCCTTCAGAGGGCTGGCCTGTGGGTGGAGAGGCATAGAGAGGTGGAAGGTCACCTCACGTCTTTAGCCATCACTCAGTACACTCCCTTCCAAGGAGAACTGCCCTGACAGGCAGAGAGAGGGGAATGGATTAAGTGTTCTAGGAGGCAAAGCTAAACATCTCAGTCATGTTCTGGGCTCACCAGCCCCCATAGATGCCAAGTTCTCTCTTACATTTTCCTTTTACTACTTGTGTTTATTTCCTCCTGTTCTGCCTGGAGATTTTCTATCTGCTGAAATATGATATAATTTTTAGTGTTTATCCACTGAGACACTCACTGTTGAGGAACATGACCCAGAGTTGCCAAATTACCCTCCCTGGAGTTTGGAGTCCAGGTGTAATAAAAACCAAGTATCTGTTTTTGGAAGGGGCCAAGGACAGAGTTAGCTCTTGAAGCCCTCTATTCATAAAGTTTCAATCTCTCCCCTAACCTTGTCCCAGATCCAGTCATTTTATTTCCTACAGGAATTTTTTTTTGGAGGTAGGGGGTGCTATTTTGGGGAGAAAGATCTGCATCTGTATTGAAAATGTGTAGAAGGAGAGGTCAGCCTTAGTGGAAGGACATTTGAAGGAGTTCCAATTAAGATAAGATTTGGAAAATACCAGGGAAGTTTGGCTTACGGTGGGAAAAGGTCCTCCTGACGCTCCACCCTAGGCCTTCACCTTACCTGGTTCATTTCCCCTCTCTACTCCAAGCACTTTCAGTTATGAACGCCCTCTCTTGGCGCTGAGCTTGGATAAATGCTACCTTGTTAGCTAATGGTACCATTAATTATATTAATGATTAATAGGTAATTAGTCATAATGCTGTAATACCTACAACGGAGGCTTCCTTTCTTGCAGCAGCTCTATGTCTCAAGCACACACACATCCCCTTCCCTATTCCTGGCCGCAGAACCAACAAGCTTCTAAATTTGTTTTTCTGACCATTCTGTCAATCTCTTCAATTTCTCCAGTTTTAATCAGCTGTCCCATTCATTAGTGAATGACCACTACTGCCTATATTTTGCCTCCTTTTTTTCCGTCCTCTGTCACTCCACTGCCCTCCAGTAAGTAACAAGATGGCCACAGAAAAGATACTTTTATTTTACTTTATTTCATAAACCAAAGGTTTTTTTCACTTCTAAGTCTCACTTGACTCCACTTTACTACTCTGGCCCCGTCTGCACTTCACCTTTACTTAATCCTAACCACTCCCCTACTTCGCCAGGGCTCACTCCCCCTGCCCAAGGATCCCTCCCACTCTACATTTGGCTTCCTTTCAGCAACCACGCCCCCAGACCCAGGCAGAGCGGTGCGCACGCGCAGTCCACGCCTTTACCTGGGCGCCCGGGAGTGGGCGGAGAGGGGGGAGGGCGGGGGTGGAGAGGGAGCCGGCAGTTATCTGGGCGGCGGAGCGCTCACAATGTGGCAGCAGGGAGAAAAGGTGCGCCGGCGCTGGCCCCGAGGGGCTGCGCATGCGCGCCGCCGCGCCCTGCGGCCGGGATGCCAGGGGGGCGGGCGGAGGGAGGTGTCGGGATCCCTGTTGGGCGGGGGGGCCGGAGAGGGAAGGGGCCGCGGGCGCGCGGCCGCGCGCGCTCTCGCCGCGGCTCGCCCTCCCTGTCCCCGTCTCCGCACACACATCCACACACGCACACCCCCTCCCCTGCCTCCTCCCCGCGCGCCGCCCGCCCCGCCGGCCCCGTTCGCCCTCGCGCGCTCGGAAGGGAGTCGCGAGACGTCGGAGCGGCGGCCACGTAGCGCTGCGGCGGCGGTGGCGGCGGCCGAGGCCGGGTCTGCGGAGCGGCCCTGAGGACAGACGTTGGGCGGGGGGGAGGGGCCGGCCCGGCCGGCGGTTGTTACTCGAGCGCCGCGGCTGCAGGCCCCCCGCCGCAAGGATGGACCGTCGAGGCGGCGGTCGGGGCGGCGGAGGCGGAGGCGGCCGGCCCGGGTGAGTAGGGGCCCCTGCCCTCGCGCACACGCCACAGTCGCGGCTGCGCCCCTGCAGCAGCCCTTCCTCTCCGGCGCCCGCCGGGCCGGCCGGGTCTCGGGCGCCGGGTTAACCCTTCGCCGAGGCAGCTGCGTGCACTAGGCCGGAGCAGCCCCCATCCGGCGGGGAGGCCCTGGGCGCTGCACTCTAATGCCCCGAGCTTGGGCCGGGGGCGCCTGCTTCTGCCCCTTCGCCCCCACCCTCTCGTACCGGGGCTTGGGCTGCCGTTGTGCAGAGTGCGCTGGCCCCGGGACCCGCGGGGAGACTGGGGTTGCACGGGTTAGCGGGCCGAGGGGAGGTTCGCAGCGGTCCTCCTGCGAGCATTTTCCTGCCCTGCGGCTGGTGGCTTGCACCCACTGCCTCCCCGGCCCTGCGGTTGCGCCCAAAACCTCCAGCCCCCGGGAGTATTGTGCCGCCTGAGAGAAAATGCATCCAGTATACACCCGCCCAACACTCACCCCACAGGGCAATGCAGACCTTTCTCCACCCCCACCTCCTCCTCCCCTCCAATCAGGCTCTACTTAAAAGATTCTTAGATGGGAGACACTCAAGGTAGTGACACCCCCGTTACATCTGCACAGAACATATTCATTGTCGAGGGACGTCTCCTGTAGAAATGATAAATGTCCCTGCCTCACCTTCGAAGTCTGTCTTCACGATTTAAGATCCCATATGCTCTTCTTTGAAAAGGGCCCAGTCTTTGATCACATCTAGTACATCCCTCCCCCACAACACACACACGCACGCATATACACACACTTCCTGGTTGCTGAGCAGCCCCTGTCAGTGCAGATCCATTGTCAGGAATGGCTTGTGCCAATCAAAGGAATGTGCTTTTGCCTTTGGAGCAGGGATTTTTCCACAACCATGTTCTCAGGATGTTCCTGTGTGAGTCTGTCTTTGATTATCCCCATGTTCAAGCATCATTATCATAGTATTTCCCTTCTGTGCATCTCCATGGACCCTCAGTAATGCCTGAGTGATGCTCTTTTCTCAATTAGATACCTGTGGTGTGTGGGAATTTCATTAATTTTGTTGTAATGCTGAACATGGTTTGTCAAGGCATAGTAAATAAATAGAGTAATATTTTGAAAAGAAATGTGTATTTTTTTCCAGAGATGGCCAGGCCCGTATTGTTCTGGGAATGGCAACTAGCACATGCTTTGTTGACAACATGTATCTGCTTAAGGAATGAAGAGCAGCTGTGACTGGCATGTGTGAGTGTGTGTGCACTGAACACAGGTGATGTTCCCTCATAGGTCTGTTTTGAGAGTGTGAGCCGCACTCGTGGTCAGGGCTGGCAGGCAGCTTGGCTCTTTGTATCAGGACTGTGCACTTGTATTCAGGTAGACGCTACCTTTAATACAATTTTGTTTAGATGTTCACCACTGAGTTTTAGTGATCTAGAAATGTCTACTTTAGTCATTTTTAACTTCTCTCTGGGGTCATGGAAGCCTTTAGGACCCTCTTCTCAGTGAAATAGACACATAATTTTATAGGCAATTATAGTCATCTTGAAACTGGCCCTGGGACCTCAGGTTAAAATGTGTATTTTGCCAAAGTGAAAGGAGCTTGAGTTTCGTGCTTTGTTTTGTTGTTGCTTAAGGATTGGCATGAGTTTGGTCCTGAGCAGTAAGCAACCAACTAAATTATATATGTGTTCTTGTGTTTTGCTCTTTCATTACAGTGAGTTATTTGTATTTGTAAGGTGTCATTTCTTTGCCTTCCTCAAAAAAGATATGAGAGTTTTAGGAAAAGTCAAGAGAAGAGTAAAAATACTTGTCTAAATTTGACCTATTAATAATGTATGTAGCAGATTTCACTAGACTCTGAATGTAGCAGATTTCAACAGCAAAGGCAGTGGTCTGTTTTATGATGCCTCTCCAGAATCTGTATGTGTTGGCTGAAGTTGATCTGATCTCTTAAAAGGCTTTGAGCCCCTGCTCTGAGATTTTTTCAACTTTATTAAATATAATTTCATGTCTTTATTCAGGATGATGTTGCCATCAAAATCACCCATTTTAATATTTTGTTTCAGTGGAAGGATTTTCCCTGTAGTTAGGACATTCAGTCTTCATGCTTAGGCTCTAAAACTAGGGGTGAAAGTTGTACCATTCTATCAGTAAGCAGGGGATAAGTATCAGCTATTCTTGCTTAAATCACTCTGCACCCAGCGTTTGCCTTTCGATCATATTTCAATCAAGAGACATTTATTCCAGCTCGTGATAGTGTTCTGTTGGGCAGTGACATTAAAGAAATACAGCCCCCAGCCCTCCAGAAGCTTACAAGTCTGACAATATTTTTCACTTTTAATCCTTTGAGACTTTCATGGTTTTTTCTTTGCCTTTAAAGGGGTCCTGAGAGGCTAAGGAATTCATGGCATTAAGAGTTTTTTGGAAAGCGAGAGAGCCTTGAGATCTTGCACAGAACCTGTTCCACACACCTGAAGAAAAGCATTTATTCTAATAATTATGCAGTGTACTCTGTGAAGTTTGAAAGCATGCTGAGATTGCAAACATTGCATTTTTTATTATCTAATAAATATGCTTGAAGTGGCTTATATTACAGGTTATATATTTTGTTCATGTCATACCTGAAGTTTTACTGTCAGAAATTACTTGCCTATCCTAAATCTAAACCATTTCAAAGTTGCAAATATTTTACTTTTCTTTGTCAGTGTAGTGTAGTGACAGATCATTAAAAGCTCAGGAGACATGTGCTTCCTTGATTTATTTCAGAACCTCTTCTAACCAGTCACTTACCTAGTTAAATACCCACACACCACAGAGCAGCTGATCATATAACACTTATGGCTATGAGAACAGCATTCTCTCTGCCAGATTCAGAGCTTGGAAGCTGGAAAACAATTGCATGGCAGCAAAACACTTAAAGAGTAGTGGTGCCAGCAGCTCACTCATTAATACAAACAGCTTGCTTTAGTTTCTTCAACACTCTTCTTCAGACACCCTTCCCTTAGGAGGTTTCAGATCAGCAGCTCCTACTCAAGGGAAACAGCACCTACTTTCTGCAACTGTGGCCTCAAGATCAGATTTGTGACACCCAGAGCTGTTTCCATTTCTGCACTCAGTATGGGAAGTAATCTTGTAGTGTGGTAAGAAAATACTTTTCGAGTTCTGTAGAAAAAAAGGTAATCAGTAATGCTATTGATGTGATTTTGTTGTTGAATGTCCGAAGCCTGTGGAAGAAATAAACTGCCAATGTGAACTGTTTTTTTAAAAAAAATCACCCTTTTCTCAAGAGTTTTAGGTAATTTCACCAAAAATGTGACTATACTCTTGGGTTTCATTTCCCTCGTTCTAAAAAGTCAGTTGAGAGACAGCCAACTACAAAAATAAAAAACCTGTGGATTCTCTTGTATTTTGAACCATACCCTTTGGAACTAGTTATTCTCAAGTTGGTGACTGCATTTCCTTGGGAACTTTTAAGTCTTGGAGCGTGTTTTAGGTATGATACTTTTCTCAGCTATTGTCATCATTTTAAGCAGTTAGCATTTGAATTTACTTTGACAGAGGTGAGCTGGTGTTGCAATTTGTGATTTTAGCTGAAGGAGAAATCAGGGAGACAGTTCTTTGGAGTCAGGCAGACAACGTTTGCATCCCAGCTCCACCATTTACTGGCTTTATGACATTGGGCAAGTCAGCCTGACCTTTCTGGCCTCAGTTTCCTCATCAGCAGAATAAGATTTGTTGTGAGGATTACTGGTTATAGATGCAAGCTTCTAGCACAGTTCCTGACACATGTACGTATTTGAGGACTCAGTAAATGGTAGGATATAGGTGAAGTGGGAGAGAAACTACAGATCATTTTGGCTTACAAGATTTAGAGGTCTGGCACTGTGATCTGCATACTTTCATTTGTGCAGATTTGGGATGAAAAAATTGCAAATATTTGACTTGGAGCATACCAAAGCCTTGCAGGTGCAGTGTGCTTATTGGAACTTTGATTTGTTGCTCTGTGGCTGGCTGAACTTGGTGGAGATAATAAAACTTAGCTCCAAATTCTGTAGTGTTATCCGTAAGCTGTGCTTGTTTTAAGGCTATTTGGAGCTTATGTGGTGAAAGGGGTGTTTTCAGGACATTAACGTATCTCAGTGAGTTCTGTGTCCAGAGCTGAATCACGTGCAAAGCCTTGTGTAAATGTTCATAGTTAATGCAAGCCATAAAGTGCTTGGTAAAATCAGTGAAGACATCAGATGTTTATTTTAGTTAATCTGCTTGTTTATAAAGCAGTTATCTTTGATTTTTAAAAACACTGATCAACATTTTCTCTTACAGAATTCCCATTGCTCTTTTGAGATTTTGATAAAACTGTTATTAGGGCTATAAGTTTGAGTGCCTTAGGCATTTTGGCTTTGGTGGGTAAAGGAAAGAAAATTTACCTGTGAAATTTTATCAATTCTCCACTTTAAACCAATACCTATAGGTTGTGTCTTTGGTCCTAGACTCGTTTTTTGCCTAGTTTTATAGTAAAATAGGGCATTGTGTTTTTCCTTTTTTAAACATAGTTTAAGAGATTGATTACTCTGAGAAGTAGATTCAAGGGCTTATATACAGTTTAACTGAGTGCATTAGAACTTTTAAAATAGGATTTCTTTGCTTCTATAGAATTAAATTATTCCATCATTTTTGCAGGATATCATTGTGATAAGTCTGTGAACCCCCATGGGTTCAGATAAGGTAGACACATCAGTAGTGCATTAGGATTTACCTCAGGGGAATTTGCTAATCCTTATTCTCTTTTATTAGTAAGCCACCTATGGACTTGCTCATCAATGGAATCAGTCACTGGTATTGGATTGCTGATAAAGAAGGATTGGCAAATAATGGTCTTAGACTCATCCTAGATTTTGCAGAACACTTGAAAAAACTTAATTTTGGCCAGAATGTATAATAATAACAACACTTATGCTGTGCAAGCCCAGATTGACTTACATATTTTTT